TTCAATGTTCACCCTCCAGCTAAATCCTCTCTTAATGGACACCTTGACATTTGGACNGTTGGGTAACTTGTCAGAAGAATTTGTTAGAAATATTAAATGTTATATCTTTGGAGATCATTGTTTTCCTTTATTCTATTGTAACTTTTTTAATAATTAACAGGAGAAATTACACGATGGTCATAATAAGGGCTTAAAAGATAAATTCTTACCTATTTTTGCTGGAATCCCTTTGTAGTCTTTTGGAAGAAAGAAGAACACATGTGAAACATTTGCGTTTAAATGTCATTGAGAAATACAACTGCAGCCAAGGTTCAAACACCATGATGGAAAAGCTAGTTAATACCTTCACTGTTTATCTGTGTTATTCCACACTTTCCTTGTAGTAAATTATTCCAAACTCTTTCTGTACCAACTCCTAGTGGAGTAACCAGACCTATATTGGACAAACCAGACCTAGTTAAATCCATTTCAATGTTCACCCTCCAGCTAAATCCTCTCTTAATGGACACCTTGACATTTGGACCCTGCCTTTCCCAGGGGGGGGGATACTCCATATAAGGGCCTATATAGGGAGGCTCCGCGCGAAAGGGGTACCTTTTTCAGGCATTAGGTATATGAAAGGGTAGGTATTTTACTTGTTGAAGTATATAAAATGGTGGGGAAATCTGTCATTTGGGTCTATGAAAGGGCCCAAAGGGCCGAACAGATGAATTTTATGGCTTTATAAGGTAGGGAAAACATTCTGTTTTTGTGATTGCTTCCTATTTGAAAGACAACATTTACAGCAGTTAAAATGGATGAAAAGTTCTAAGCAAGGTATGTGAAAGGGGTACCATGTGTAAATAAAAGGTATATGAAAGGGGTAGCTTTTTCACGAAAAATGGTATAATGGTTAGGGATTGGACCTCGGGACAGAGCCTCCCCGTATAAAGATTTGTTGAGTACCCCCTTCCCTCCCACCCCCAGGGCTGCCTTTCTTTACTCCCTTTATTTAAGACAGATATCTCCCTAAGAAGGAAACTTACTGCCAGTCCCAATGGTGTCCTTCTTAAAGAGAGTTGACAGTATTGTTGTTGAATGAACATTTGTCACTCAGAGACATAGTTAAAAATTTTTTTGGTTGCAAATAAACCCCAACCCATCTCTCAAATCATTTTCCCACAGGTGACTTGATTAAATCTCCTTTTTTATCAGTATGGTGATGAAATCAACCCTCTGGGTCTAAAGGACCATGCTCTTCAAGCTGGATACACAGCTTTCCCTTGTGGCAAATAAAGATACGTACACATCCCCATTATTTTATAAGCCCTCTTAAAACACCTGACAAAGTTTCATAAGCCAAGAGCTTATAACCAGAAGGTTACGGCATGGTATTCTGTATCAAGGCAATTTTAAGTATTCGGTATCAAAGAGTTTACAATTTTAAGACATATTGGTATCTTTTACGAGGAAAAAATATGGGTATGTTGGTATCCCCCCCCCCACCCCCCGCACCCTGGCTGGGCCTGATTATTCCCCTTGCTACTGAAATCCCGTCTTTAAATCCTACCGTAGGAAAAGCATTTCACACTGGGATCGAGAAAATATAGGGAAATTAAGGCATGGAAATTTATAACTAAGCCTCAAATACCTAGTCCAGTCACCACAACCCTCCGATTACGCGTCGCGCTTGAATAATGCCTTCGAACGAGGTTATTCAGATGATTAGATCGCTTGAAGAGGAAGATCCGGTTTTTTGCGCACATAATTACAGCGCCGTGCACCCGTAAACTCCAGAAAAAATAGTCGATTTATCATGCGTTGATACGAATCGAAGTTGCAACTCTCCAATTTTCCGCCATTTTTGTAACCACGCCTTCTTTTGTGGCAGGAAAAGGACTTGGGCCGTTGGGTCCAGGTTGCTCGCTGTTTCGAGCCAACCTTCCACGGTTTTCATTAAGATCAGTTGGCGAATAGCCATTAACATTGCAGGAATGAGCGCCGTAAAATTAGAAAACTTACCAAAATTGGTGATACGTTAAACGCGAGCGAAGATATTGCTTCACAACGTCGCGAAATTTTCCAGAGTAGGGGCCACAAACTTGCCGGTACCCCCCTCCCCTAGACCCCTACAACTGTAAAGACCGCACAACGTTTGTAAAATTCGACGACTTTGTGGTTCCATATCTCCGTTAGCTTTCATTAAATCATGTTCAAACTTGGTACTTTTACTAACCCTAAGGCGTTCTTTATATTTGTGCTGACGGATTTTTGCTAACTAGTCCCAGCAGATCCCAGTCAAAAGTTGTGAACTAGTCAGGAGAGGGTCTATTTTGGGGAAACTGGCGCATGTAAAAATATGCTCAGAACGTAATTCATCCTGGTAAATTTTATCCAGTAGGGAATCCAGGATATCCAATAATTGGAAAAGGTCGTTTCTTTGACATTTATAAACGCCCGGGGCGTCTATTTAATTTTAGGGGTCCAAGCGGGGGTGTTTAATCACTGAGATAGGAGGTGTTTTTAAAGAGAGAGGCGTTTATTCCGAAAATATTAAGAGCTTTTAAAAATAGCGGAATATTCACTCCATCCATTTAGCCGTACGTCTATATCAAGACTCTCATAAAATTTCTTTAGATTTTTCTTCATGAATTATCAGCGAGTTTCTGAAGCTCTCGTAAGCGACCACCCTCTATTGTGTTACCATGCGCTCGCTTACGATCACTTTTATCGACTTTCCGAGGTGGTCGCTTAAGGTGATTCCATAGTAAAAGAACGTAACATAGATTTTAGCTAAAACTTGGTACACTGATGTAACAAGTCAAGAAGATGATAAAAAAGTAATAAAAAGTGGGGGTCACCGTGCTCGTTTTGACGTCACAATGCTGACAAATACGGCTATTTAGGACCCTTTTACAAAAACCGCGGGCAGCGCAAAACTAGACAAAAAGGAGAGATTTTTTCGATGATGCATGTGACATCACACAGAATTTGACTTTAATGTATTGTTTATCCACTTACGTACCAGAAAAATGCCTTTTAATGCCCTTGTTTTTACTTTACGCTCCAAAGTAGAATTAAATTGGACGCGCGCTTTTCGACCCGTGATGGCTCAATCCGTACAATTTAGTAAAATTGCCAAAAAACTGAACATAGATTTGTGCCAATTTTTTTCTCATCGAAAGGAAGCACTGTCCTTATTAAAATCATGAAATAAAAAATGGGGGTCACCGTACTCGTTTTTGCGGTAGAGCTGCAGAAAGTGCGCACCAAACGCATTTTCTCCGATTTTTGAGAGAGGACTGGGGCGAGTTTCAAAATAGAATGTATGTGAAAAGGGGAAGAAAGTATTAAAAAGTCCGTTTTTACAGAATTTACATCGAGATATCACATTTAGGACACAATGTGATAAAGAAAGTGTTTAAATGAAAATCAAAGTGAGTAAGCACAAGTTAAACAACCACTATCGCGGTTCTCCGAGAGGAGGTCGAACTCAGCAACACGCGTACTGCTTACGTTATGCACATTCGCAACACATTGAGTCTCACCTCGGCAAGAAACAACAGCAAGCAAAAATTCCAACAGCGTTTCTCTTCAGTCAACTTCATTTTAATAATATTACTTCACATGCTCTTTTTTACGGTGGCCATCTTGTTATGCGCAGTAAGAGATGCGCAGTGCAAAACTAGGGAATCACCTTAAGAGAGCTTCGACTGTATTTTGTCTGCCACAACCAAAATCAGCTTTTCATTTTCCTTCCAGTCGTTTCCGATTGTTTTTCGCAAGATTTTTTCTAACACAACCAGAGCCAATCACAAAATAAAAGGCCTTTGATAAACGGCCAAACACAAATCAGTCTACATGATGGTACTTCCTTGAGTTTCTAGAGCAAGAAAAAAGAACTAATTCCCTTTGTTTGCTCGGAAGTGAAACGGATTTTTCAATTCTTCAACAGTTTTCAAATGTCCGTCAGCAGTTTTGGCTGAAACGTCTGCTACATACATTTCAATGCATTGCAAAAATAAAAAGGCCTTTGATAAACGGCCAAACACAAATCAGTCTACATGATGGTACTTCCTTGAGTTTCTAGAGCAAGAAAAAGAACTAATTCCCTTTGTTTGCTCGGAAGTGAAACGGATTTTTCAATTCTTCAACAGTTTTCAAATGTCCGTCAGCAGTTTTGGCTGAAACGTCTGCTACATACATTTCAATGCATTGCAATGTGTCTTCATTAGTTTTAACAGCTGTGCGCTGGTTCCAATTCAAGAAAAAGGTAATTAGGATTATATAAAGCTACCTTGTTTCCGAGCTCAGTTAGAACTATCGAGCGTCCTTTGTTTATGACTACAAAATGAGCACGGCGAGTAGTCAAGCGGGGAGACGAACGACAGGGATTCCCGCAAGTACAAAACGATCTGTATATCATAAAGCAAAAGACAATATCAAGAAAAATACTACCCAGCCATTACCAGGAAGAAAATAGTCACTAAATCTGTACAGAGTTATAAATTCAGCAAAATTTTTCACTAGACATACGCGATTTTCTTTGAGAAGAAGGGTCCCATTAAGAGCTAAAAAAAATCGGATTATTTTCATATTATTGCCAAATGATAGCTGTAGTTCTTCTCAAAGTTTCGTAGCCATCGCATAGTAACCAAAAAAAGTTATGAAAAAGTTTGTCATAGCCACCTTAATGACTCAATAAAGGAAAGAAAAATGGTCCTTCGAGCAGGATTAGTTTGAGAAGATTGGTGGACTTTTTCCAGCGACCCTCCCTTTACCGTACTTGTAGACGTATGAAGAGCTTGGCACCAGAAAGATAAAGTATGAACGTCAATCACGTGTGCAAACAACACGAACATTTGTCATGAAAAAACGTGAAAAAATGCGTAAGAAATGTACTTCTTTTGGTCAGCCGACACATGCTCTGTCGTGCGGCAAACTCACATGAAACTCTTTGCAATGATATTATGTAATGTCCCTTTTCGGCATTTGACGAGGCGCAGCGAGCCAATCCAGAC